AACTCCTTTTTAATGGTATATTGCAAGTGCAATAAGAAGCTACAGGGACGTTAATCTACATCGGTAATATTAACTTTATTTAATACAAGATTTACATCATACAGCCCATGTAGTATAATATTTTACAAATGATGAATTACAGCAAACATGTGCAATATATCCATTATTACAGCTCAGGGGCGGCGCCAGGGGGGAGCTAGGGGGTGCTGAAGCACCCCCCAGGATTGCCGAAGCACCCCCTAAGCACCCCCAATATATATGTTTATTTTTTTCGAAAATTATTATTATTTTTATTAAATTAAATCAGAAAAATTATTGATTACATCAATGCAAATGTGAAACAAATAAATGTTTGACCAAAAACATAAAGCCAACACAGGTGATATGATTAGGCCAATGGCCAGCACCCATTCGATTTTTGACCTACCCATAGGGTAAATTACTTTGTGACACTTGAGTGACTTCCTGTTAGCTGGAGCCCCAAATGATTTGCTAACAGCAAAGTGACAAATGGATAGTTTTTTAGTTCTTAAACGTCCACGTGTGGACACTCAATCAAAACCACCTGAAAGCGAGAGGGATTCTACACATAATAGGCCTCGTGAGTACAAGTAGCTTACTTCTGGGTCTGTTTCATTCAAGCTCTGCTCTGTGTGTGTGTGGCACGAGCCATTTTGTGTGCGTGCGCAAGCGAGCGAGAGAGAGAGCTCGCGCACCGGTGGGTATCTACCGGAGATCGTTGTGGTTAGCATCTGGTGCTAGCTAGCCAAGCTAACGGATATAAGGAGCTTTTTCAACAACAAGGTGGATAGAGAACTATCTCCTGTCAGACGGAGAGTCTCAGGTAACCTCAGCTCAGGTGAAGTAAAGGACTCTCAGTGTTTAGATAGTTAACTTTAGTCTAGTTATCTCAGTGGGTCTCAAACGGTTTGTTTTAAAAGGGGAGTGATTTGTAAAATATCTATAAAGAAATAGAAAATCTGTTTACAGTTCTGTTTCATATGTATGTTGAGAGATACTGTATATCCATAGATCTCTTCATTTTGGCTCTCAAAGTGCACCAGATTGATGCTTTTAACTTCAATATTTAAAAGTAAATGGACCTCACTAGAGGAAGTGAGGTCCACTCCCCATTTGTAAAAATAGCACTTTACACCTATATGCCGTGAGCTGATTACCGAGCCTTCATTGTAACAGTCGCGGGCACACTGTGTGTGTGTGTGGGGATGTTGCAGTAGAAAATTCAACTGTAGCGCTAGTGCATTAATGGGAAACCCTTAATGTTTGAGCACCCTCTATGAAACGTCAAGCTACCCCACAGCACCCCCTAGAGCAAATCTCTGGCGCCGCCACTGTTACAGCTCCGTGGCAGTAAGGCGATATGGGTCCGTTCTTATTGTGCATCCATGGGTAAAGGTAAAACCTAAAACTCATGTAGTACTGAACACGTCACATCACATGAACGTGCCGGGCGGCGCGGTCCCGTGGGTTAGATGCACGTTCATAATGCAGAGGGAAATAACTCTCAGAATAACGTTATTAGCACATTTTTACAACTTGGGGAACGAATGTTTTTAATAAGGGCTATACAAGTGTTCATACTGGGTAGTTCTTTTAGTTTAAAAAAAATTATCCAACGATTTACAGACCATTCTTTCCCCATGTAAGTCAATGGGAAAAAGTGTTTCCGGGCCTGGCAACCAAACGGAAGTGTAGTACCGCCTTTTGGCCACCACGAATATTTTCATCTGAGTCCGACGCACTTCCTGGGGGCTTGGCGTGGATAGAACACCCCCAGAAGAACCAGCATTTCAATTATTATAATACTACAAGTGAAAATATATGTAAGTATTGATCATTTGTGTTGTTTGTGCTGTACTATACGGTCTGTTTCTTTATTGTGTTAAGTGAGAAGTAAAGCTGTGCTATGAAAGTTAGCTTTTGCTAACTGTAGATCCATAACAATGCAAGCTAAGTAGCCTAACAGTTAGCTACATAGCTAACAGTGAGTGAGCGTTCAGACACCGACGCACACACTCAAACGGACTCGTGTGCCTGACTCTACCAACAGGCTTTCATGATTCTGTTTAGATATGCAAGTGATAAGCCATGATAGCTTATTTTATTTTATTAACACGCTAATTTCATATGAAAATCAATGGAGGCTGAGATAACTTTGTAGGAAAACCTACCGTCCATGATGCCCCTGAGCTGTGTTTTATTTGTTAACTTCATATTTTTCATTTCCTAAAACATTTATTTTCCTCTCATATTAACAGTGTGGATCATTGAGACAGCGTGGCGTCCAGAGGTCTTATCCCGTTTTCCCTCTTCCTCTGAGGGGAGAGCACGGAGGGGGGGCATGAAGAAAGACCTGCACCAGCTTCATCCACGCTGGGCGTTGCTGTTATCACTGGCTCAGTTAGGGGTGGGCGATATGACGATATATATCGTCGTGACGATATATATCGTCGTGACGATATTAGGTCTCCACGATATTAGGTCTCCACGATATGCTTTTTCAGAGATATCGTATCTATCGTGATAAAAAAAATAATTATAAAAAAAATAAACTTTTCCCTTCAGTTATGCTAAAGTCTTTTATTGCACTTCAAGTCTAAAGTTTACATTTTAATTGTTTGGCACTGACTTTTCCTCATTGATGTTTTATGTTTTACTTAGTTATGTTTTACCCTCCTTTTCATGTTTATTGATGTTCACTGCTAGTGCTACCTCAGAAAGTTCATTTTTATACTGAGAAACTGTACCTTGAAGCCATATCAAAATGTTGAATTGTTCATTCAGGGATTCATTTCAGAAATAAAACCAGCTTGAAATGATATTTTGGTCTGTTACTCGTTTTAGTTTCTGTTTCAATAAATGTAATTTGTATAATCACTCTTTTGTCTTTATTCTACATGAAAATGTTAGAGATTCCATTCAAATATGTTGATTATTCAGATCTTCCTCAGTTTGTAATGCTACATGTATATCATTTTCTCACAGGATATAGAATGCAGACACACAGTTTGTATCCATTGTGTATGAATGCTTCAGCTCTTCAGACCAACATGGTAAGATGTGAGCATGTTCCTAACTGTGTTTGTATGCAGCCTAGGTCTGGTCTGGTTAATAAAGCAAATCTGCCACTTTTATATTGTAGAATTTGTCTTTGTGTATGTGTCTGTGTGTATGTGTCTGTGTGTATCACCTTTAGCTTGAAAATACATAGATGTGTTTTTTTTAAATCTATAAAATAAATAAATAGACAGACAGACAATTTATCAATCCCAAATTGGAAAATTATTTAACAGCAGCAGTGTGTTCAGGTATTAAAATATTTAAAGTTGGAATAAAGTATAAACTACACAACACAAGTGTAATGCACAGCAATCCATAAGAGAAGTCCGATATGTTCATGAAAACTCCCCAGAAGACACTAACGTGGCCGAGTGGACTCCGGAGTTTGCTGCATGAGTTGCACTGTATGATCTGTGGTGTAGTGGGCTGTCACTCAAAAACTGAGTAGCCAATGAGGACACACCCCTGAAAGTCCCGCCCACCTGGGACGTTTGTGTCAAAACCAAAAACCAAAAATGAGGGAGCGCAAACAAGAAGAGCTGCAGCGAGAGCCAGAGTTCCCGTTAGAATATTTTTTCGCCGGTCAACATGTCCGTTAAAGTTTAAATCTTCCGGACAAAATGAGAAAAGTCCCGGTCAAAGGTCTTCTTTGTTATTTATTGAGCTTTAAAACAAATTGAAATGATTCGATATTAAACAATCTAATTATAGTAGATTAACTACATTATTCAAAAGTGTACAGTAATTTACAATAACACGGGAATAATAAACGGAGCGCTCTCCCCCTCTCCTGACAGCCCGTCAGTATCATGAAGCTTGCGGATCAGTAATGAGTGACCCGACAGTAAAACTAAACACATCTATAACTAGTTTAGGTAGTTTGAGAGGTAATTAAAATAGCTACGTGTGATATTCTAACCTGAAGTGTGTGTTTTGTTCCGCTCACCGCTGCATGTGATCATGCAGAGCTGCGTTTCGACTCGTCAGCAGCAGCTGATCTCTCTCTCCCGTCAGATTAGACTTCATTTGCGTTTATGTCCATATCGATCAGATCCAGCTAGTTCTAGCTAATGATATAACTACCTGCTTATTAAAAGACACCTAAACAATAAGCGTCGCTATGCAACCTGGTGAGGCCGCAAAGTATAGGGTAGCATTATGCATTTGTTTACATGCCCACCGGAACCTCGAGGCATTACCAACAGATCAACGCACAATCAACCCATACAGGACAGCTCTTTCTCCACATTAAATGTTAGACATTAGAATTGACTATTCTTGTATGTCACATACTCTTTGGTCTGTCACATAAATGGTGCAAGTTGCGCAACTGATGTGGTATTGCGCTAAGCGGAAATGATTTTGAACGGACACTTTGACCGGAGAGATTTAGATTTGCCGGTCTTCAGCATATTTTACCGGTCGTAGTCCGGTAATTACCGGCTAACGGGAACTCTGGCGAGAGCATAAGTCTGATCATTGAGAAACAAGAAACAAGAACTGCAAACAAAAACCTATGTTAAAACAAAGAAAAAAGACTTATAGTTTACATGATTACACAAATGATTTGTTTGCAATTTATAGTTTTATTTTTGAAATTGATTTTATTTTGCTTGACTCAGTTTTTTTCTTCTTTTAAACTCATAGTTTTGCTTTATTCTGAGAAAGTGTTGCTTTATCTTTATGATACAAAACTAATCCCATAAACAAACGACCAAACAATAAAAACGACCAACAATTGCTGAACCATACATTGAAACGTTGACCTTTAAGCAGTTAAAATTCCTCACGAACGAGAAGAAGGACCTCGTCTACATTGAGGTTAGACTAATATTTTAAATTTAAATTATTTTTACTATTATTATGCCAGACTACTTTATCTTGTGCACGTGACTAATAAAATGCTATTTGATTTTAAGGTTGTCCGTCTGGCTGAACAGCTACACCAGGAGACTGCCGCACCACCCCCCAAAAAAAGAAACGGCAGGAGACAGCGCAAAGAAAGAGATGGAGAAATATTTGAGAGACACGACTACAATCCAGTCTGGCCCACTTGCATGGTGGAAGCACAACAGTGACCGGTATCCCAAACTGGCATTTGCGGCCAAGTACTGCCTTTGCGTTCCGGCCACTTCAACCCCGTCAGAGCGCATTTTCTCAAAGGCTGGCTACATCGTGAACAAGACCAGAAGTTCACTTTTACCTGAGAATGTGGATAAACTCATCTTCCTCGCACACAACATGAAGAGAGTGTAGGTAGGCTGGCTTAAGGCTTAGTCAAATGAAGCTTGCAACCTGATTGTGATTTATTTGTTTATTTGAAAGATTGGAAAGAAATTGTTCGTTTCTTGAAGTGTATGCTACCTCCTACCTTGTTCTATTTGTTACAGTTCGTTTTATTCTATATAAAGCCAAGCCATTCATTTATTTGTATTTAAATTGTTCGTTTATTAAAATGTGTGCTGCTGTTATTATAATTGCGCTACCTTGTTTTATTTATTACAGTTCGTTAATTAATTTTTCGTTCTTCATTTAAATACTGTTTAATGTATCGGTAACAAGTATTACACTGTTAGGCCTACTGTTACGGCTATGTTATTAAAAGTATTGTTGTTATAACAGAAATATGTGTTTTGTATCTTTGTTTGACTCTTCAGGTTGTAAAACGTTATAGACGGAATTTGGAACCGGATTTGGTCCCCGGGACCGTTCCGAATATTCGCTGTTGATTACTACTGAATATCCGGAGACCAAAAAATGGTATTCGGGACAGCCCTAGTTACGACAACATCGTGTTTAATGGTGAGGGATGCGTTTCCATGGATACGGCATATGGTGAGATGTCAGATTTGACGTAGAGCTGTTGAGGCATGGAGAGGTGATATACAGGTGAAGATTGTGGGACGACCGGACCGTGTCCATTGGAGCTACAGCGACATCGTGTTTTATGGCGATGGATGTGTTTCCATGGCAACAGCCTATGGTGAGATCTCAGATTTGGCGTAAAGCTGTTGAGGCATGGACCGGTGATATACAAGCAACGTTTGGGGGGTGATCTGACCATGTCCATTGGAGTTACAGCAACATCGTGTTTCATGGCGAGGGATGCGTTTCAATTAAAACGGCATATGATGACACCCCATAATTGACGTAGAGCTGTTGAGGGCAGGACCATTAACCATTATCTGAAGTCTGCTGCTCTGAGCATGTCAGTTGGAGTTATGACATCATCGTGTTCAGTGCATAACATTAAGGATTTTGGGAGATGGCCCTGTGGGCCATCTAAGCTAATTTACAGATGGCCCTGAGCCCAATAGAGATTGCCCTGAAAAATGTGCGCGGACGAAATGACGCACGAAGGGTTTGGGGGGCCTCCCCCTAGAACATTTAGATTTTAGCAGGTCTTAGATGCTGTCTGGTGCATTCTCTAGACTGAATTATAAGATGAACCACCACAATATTGTATTGTACAATTTCAATTTGATTCTTCATTTCACTTGTTTGTTTGTTCTTGTTTGTGTTTGCTCGCTTGCATACCCTAATAAATACTTAAGTTGTTGGTCAAGACACTTTCCATCTGATGAAGGCAAATGCCTTCCCAGATGTAAAAAAGTAGAAAACATTACATTCAGTTATAACTGCCAAAACAAACATTATTTACACTATTATGGCCCCTGTTAAAAATGTTTGTAATGTTATCTACTGTAAGTTGGTCGAACGAATGCCTCCTCATCCGGAAGCTGACCGAGCAGACCCGAGGAGCCGAGCGCATCTGCGAAGCACACAAAATGGCGACGTCAAAGTTCCCGTGATCCGGCAAATCTAAATCTCTTCGGTCAAAATGTCCGGTCAAAATTATTTCCCTTTAGAGCAATACCGCTTTAGTTACGCCACTTATGTGACAGACAAGAAGAGTATGTGACAGACATGAATAGTCAATTCTAATGTCTCACACTTAATGTGGAGAAAGATGTCCTGTATGGGTTGATTGTGCGTTGATCTGTTGGTAATGCCTCGGGGTTCCGGTGGGCATGTAAACAAATGCATAATGCTGCGCTATACTTTGTGGCCTCACCCAGTTGCATAGCGACACTTATTGTTTAGGTGTCTTTTAATAAGCAGGTAGTCATATCATTAGCTAGATAGAACTAGCTGGTTCTGATCGATATGGACATAAATGCGAGTGAAGTCTAATATGATGGTAGAGAGAGATCAGCTGCTGCTGACGAGTCGACACGCAGCTCTGCATGATCACATGCAGCAGTGAGCGGACAAAACACACACTTCAGGTTAGAATATCACACGTAGCTATTTTAATTACCTCTCAAACTACCTAAACTAGTTATAGATATGTTAGTCCCGATCGGGCCACCAGCAGGTGAGGCTTCGTTGCCCGATCGGGCCACCAGCAGGTGAGGCTTCGTTGCCCGATCGGGCAACCAGCAGGTGAGGCTTCGTTGCCCGATCGGGCAACCAGCAGGTGAGGCTTCGTTGCCCGATCGGGCAACCAGCAGGTGAGGCTTCGTTGCCCGATCGGGCAACCAGCAGGTGAGGCTTCGTTGCCCGATCGGGCAACCAGCAGGTGAGGCTTCGTTGCCCGATCGGGCAACCAGCAGGTGAGGCTTCGTTGCCCGATCGGGCAACCAGCAGGTGAGGCTTCGTTGCCCGATCGGGCAACCAGCAGGTGAGGCTTCGTTGCCCGATCGGGCAACCAGCAGGTGAGGCTTCGTTGCCCGATCGGGCAACCAGCAGGTGAGGCTTCGTTGCCCGAGCGGGCAACCAGCAGGTGAGGCTTCGTTGCCCGAGCTAAATACTAGATGGCCCGGGCCATCGGGCAGTCCTTAATGTCGAGCCCTGGTGTTCCATGACATAGGTGTTTATATTTGAGCTAACGACGTGTCCAGAGATCAAAGGTTTATGCTTTAATGATCAATCATTCCAAAACATATCATATATATTATTCTGAAATGGACCAATCTGCACAATCACTACTTTTACTTTTGGTACTTTAACTATATTTTGATGATAATACTTTTCTAATTTTACTTGAGTAACATTTTGAATGCATACTGTAACAGAGTAACACTCTGGTACTTCTACTTTTACTCAAATACAATATCTGAGTACTTCTTCCACCTCTGTCTGATTTCAAACTCTTCCATTAAAGGCCCTGACACACCAAGCAGTCACCAGAGAACTCGCTGACGCCGACTGTTGCGTCGGCGTGTTATCCTGCGTCTTGGCCATGTGTCGCACTGGAACACACCGCAAAGACTTCAGCCGAGCACGTACGAACTGCAATAACTCTCCTTACCTGCAGGCGGCAGTAGTGTGTATTCGTCATTCAAAAGAGGCAACAACCGGAAGACAGAGAAGAAGAACAGACTACGTGATATAAACAAACAACAAATAGCGTGTGTGATCCATTTTCACTCTCGTCCATCGAAAACATGTTTCGTGCGGTACTTGAGCTATCAGCCATTGGAGTGTTGCTTGTGGAAGACATTCTCAAGCAACCGTTTCGCTTCTCATGCACTGTTTCGCTAGCTGAACAGCCAATCAGAGTGATGTATTTGTCCGACTGCCTGTGGCCGACACAATAATGCCAATAATAGCCATTGATTCCCGACCGAGCTGACCGTTTTGATGTTTGAACAGAGTTTCTGCGATGTTCAATGTGGGAGAAGAAGCAGCGCAAAATATCTCGGTGGAATAATAAAGAATTTTGTGCGTAGCATAACAGATAGTGGGAATGCTGTGTCATTATTCCCACTAAATAAATGAATGTTTTGCAATCCTAAGACGCTACTCTGTACACATTCCCTCAGCTTTAGTTCTACATATTTTCATATACAATTAAACTGAATATTTGGAAACAAACCAATATACACTATATACTGTAGCAGTGATGCAAATGAGTCGCTTTTCGGCGCCTCCCGCTATTTTAACGCTGATTTGGGTGACTTGTGTGATTCGTGGAGAACCGAAGAGTTTTCGTTTTGGGGCAAACGCCGCTCCAGCTCTTCAAATATTGCAGTACCCATACACATGCTGCAGTGTTTGCGTGGCTGTGTCTTTAGTTGTAAGCACAGTGGCGATCTGTTGTTATTAGCATCTGGTTAGCTAGCTATGCTAACAAATTTAAAGAGCTTTTCTACAACCAGGTGGAAGAGAGCTCTCTCCTGACAGGCTCAAATAACCTCAGTTCAGTGAGGAGGTTAAGGCACACCTTGATATGATCATTATAGTTATTAATGAGACATTAGAGACTAAATGAAAAACAGGTATAAAATACTATATCACAGTAACACAAAAGTTGTTAAAAATAACAAGAATAGAGTTTAAAAGGGGAGTGATTTGTAAAATATCCAAAAAGAAAAATCTGCTTACAGTTCTGTTTCATATGGGTGTTGAAAGATGTACCCATAGATCTCTTCCTTTTGCTCTCTAAGTGCACCAGATTGATGCTTTTAACTTCAATATTTAAAAAAAAGATCTTCCCGGGGGAGCATGCCCCCAGACCCCCTAGGTTAAGTCCCCCCCCACTTAAATCACGTTCACATGGATAGGATACTAAATACATTTGCACTAGGGATGGGAACGATTCATCGAACATTCGAAATTATTCAGGTATTCGAATAATTATTCAGGTATTCGAATATCAGTTATTAATTATTTTTTTATTTTTTTGGGACGGATGCCTAAGTTGACTACATATTATCAAATTGAATAATTCAATGTATACGACAGTGCCATAGCTAAATGTGTTAGGTGACGTCTAAAGGTGTGTTTTGCTCCGCTCACCGGTCCCTCACAGCGGGCAGAGCTGCAGGTGCTGATCTCTCTCTCTCGCGTCCGGTTATACTTCACTCGCGTTTATGTCCAAATCCATCAGATCTAGCTAGTTCTAGCTAATGATATGGCTGCTGCCCCTCCCTACACGCAGATCACGCAGACTCAAACCTCATCTTATAACCAAATGCGGCGCAAATGTGCTCCGCAGCCGTTGCGAGGTTCCGGCGCTAACAGTTCATGAGCGTGCTCCCCCGCCCCCTGTCAACACTCGTGACACATGAGTGGCCAGCCTAAACAACAATAAGCGCTGCTTGGCAACCGTGTGTGGCGGCAAAGTACATAGACATTTTGACAGGAGAGATTTACTTTTGCCGGTATTCAACATATTTTACCAGTCATAGTCCGGTAATTATTTACACTCTAAGAAGAGTCCTACACAACAGACATGGCGTCAAAAAGGAGTAATGTGTGGAAATATTTCGACCAGGTTAGTGAGTGCGGTGTAGAGGTCAAACTATGCCAAATTAAACTTATATACATGCTATACCTCCGTTCCAGCTGAGAGGGTCTTCTCTACAGCTGGCCTGATTGTGCCCATTCATCCAGAAGAGCATTTGTGAGGTCAGACACTGAAGTTGGACAAGAGGCATATTATTACTCCACCAAACTTTACAGTCGGCACAATGCAGTCAGGCAGGTAACGTTCTCTTGGCATTCACCAAACCCAGACTGGTCCATCAGAGGACAGATAGAGAAGCGTGATTGGTCGCTCCACCCAACACGTTTCCACTGCTCCAGTCCAGTGGCGGCGTGCTTTACACCACTCCATCCGACGCTTGGCATTGTGTTGGTGATGTAAGGCTTGATGCAGCTGCTCGGCCATGAAAACCCATGAAGCTCCCGGCGCACAGTTTTGGTGCTGATATTAATGCCAGAGCTGGAACTCTGCAGTTATTGAGTCAACAGAGCTTTAGCCACTTTTAGGCACTATGCACCTCAGCAGCACTCGGCAAACCCCCGCTCTGTAACTTTACGTGGTCTGACACTTTGTGGCTGAGGTTCCTAAACGTTTCCACTTTGCAATAATACCACTTACAAAGTTAATCGTGGAATATCTAGGTGAGAGAAATTCCACAAAGTGACTTGTTGCAACTCTGGCGTCCTATTACAGAGTAGATCGTAGTAACACACTGCTGCTGTGTGTTTGCAGACTAAAGAGTTTGGAGTAAACAACATTTATACAATATATATTTTACAATACAAAATTATTAGCAATAACTCTTCAATTAGCATGCTAATACAACCTACCACTTACATGGTAACAGCTAGCCATGGTTTGAGTTTATGACTTCTGTGCGAGTGATGGTGTAAAACGTATGTAAATAAGTAGCCCAGGTGCTCCAGGCCGCACCTGTGTTTTTGTGGATTTCCACCAGCGCTTATCAGAAATGACCCACAGTTCCAGATAAAATACCCTTCAGCAAATTATGCTATTCATGTTTTTGTGAGTGCCTTATCCTTCAACAGGATAAAGGTACAGCAGAAAACGACAACCTCATCTAAAAATCTTCTTTGAACAGCAGAAGGGAACACTCCCCTCCAAAAAACCAACATTGATACGACACACACCTCCACATTTAATATGTGCCAGTTATAGAAAGGAAAGGGGGGAGACAGTTAAAGGCATCATTGATTTGCTTATGTTATCTGACCATTACATAGTTCGGCCTGTGTGGGGTGATTTAACACTAGAACCTTTGTCTTCAGGTTTGGCACATTTAACTGTACAAAGACTTTGTTGTATAAATAATCTAATGTAGTGTTTTGTTATGAAAAGGCTGCATGGAAATGACGTGTAATAAACAGTGCTTTTGTAAAAAACAGTTACTGATGTGAACAGAACTGGGGTAATCACTACTCAACTTTGACATCAACTCTGTTCTGACTGCATTAGTTAAAATGTGTGTCTGATATGCTGTTCTGGTTTATGACTGCAACGGCTACGTACAAAGTATGTTGCGTGAATCGTGACGTATCGCCTCTGCTCTTTTTCTTTAAAGGTTTCAATACATTAACAAACTAATGCCCCAATACATATGTTTTTTTTTTTACATTACTTGTTAGACGCTTTTATCCAAAGCGACTTACATACTAAATACTGTGGCAATCCCCACAGGAGCAATTTGGGGTGAAGTGTCTCAGGGACACAACGACATGCTGACTGCAGTGGGGTGTGAACCTGTGACCCCCTGATCCCAACACCAACACACTAATCCACTGCGCCACGCGCCACCCTCCCTTTTGACAATGCACTATCAATTTCAGCCTTTTGGGTTGCTAGACAGAGTAAGGTGATGTAGCTTGATGGTGTGGACCAGGATCATTTTATGCAGCTAATAATACTGTTTTAAATTACAATATGGCTTGCAAAAGTTTACCTAACAGCCTACTGTCAAAATGACACAATGTTACACAGTATATGAGTGTAAAGATATGTTTACTTGTTATTGTTTTCCTGCACATAACACTACGGTACCATAGTTAGTTGAATGTTTAACCTGTACTTCTAAACACAAAGAAGGTGGTGTGTTTAGCTCGTTATTGTCAGACACAACAACAAACATGTCAAACAGTTTTTTCTTTCAAATTGTTCATTTCAAAAGTATCATCCCAATGTGTATCCCAAAGGCCTAACTTCAAAAGTATTCATTTGATTTGTGCTTTCCAAGAAAATTCAAACCTTCTTCTTAAATCTGGATCCATTTTCTACTTTTAAAAAGAACGTCATGAACATATTTAATTTGATAGTTTTCTTTTTAATTATTGAAATTCAATTCAATATTTGCTACAGATCTATAAAACAAAGTCAGCAGATAACTTTTCTGGTAAATCACATGTGTGTGTGACTCCATATCATTGTATTATTCAATACTTTGGAAGTCACGAATAGCCTGCCTTGTCCCCCCCCACCCTCCTCCTCATCAGTGTGTTCCTGAAATCGCTAAAAGGCACATGGGACCTGTGGTCATTTTTTTTCCGGATAACATCTACATCTGTGACGGATGTTTACACAAAAGCACTGTGATCATTCCTAATATAATATTATTTATTATCAATTCATGAATGTAGCACTCCATTACAGTTTCACTAGATGGAGCTGTTACTCCAGAAAAAAGAAAGGGTAATTATCGGTAGTTAAGGCTGAGGGCTCAAAGACTGTGTCTGATGGATCCTGATTCATCAACCCTTCTAAATCAAAAGCATTCTAACTTAAAGGCCATATATGTATGTGTATATATATATATATATATATATATGTATTCATGTTTTTATTCTGTATCCATTTGTTTGGCTCTAGAATGAGTTGTTTTAACATTCTTTGCGCCAAAGTATTAGGTTAGAAGGCTATTTAAACATTTCAGGGCTTTTTTATTTTACAACCAAAGCCAAAATATATTGGGGTTGATATAATGAAGAAAGTTGTAAGCCATATTTGTAAGTTTAACACTGGAAAACGTATTTTAGAGAAGGAAAAGTTTTTTATTGTCATGAAAGTGAGAGAAAAAAATATGCAATTTCAACTCGTTTAATGTAGATTTACTCGACTTAAAGCTAAGGTATTCTCTCTTTAAGAATTAGTATTTATAAAAGGGTGATTAAAGCTTATCAAAATGTTTACGAAATACCATCTTTAAAATAATTGTGAGCCTTCTTGGGGCTACGCCTTCAGTGCTTATTATACATAATAATTAGGGCCGGGACTTTAACGCGTTAATTAAGATTAATTAATTACACAAAAATTAACGCGTTAAAAAAATTAACGCATTTTAATCGCACTTATTTTTGCACCGCGGAACGTTTCTCACTGGATGAGTTTCAGGCGTACCGATTATACTGGAGCACCAACTAACGTTCATGACTTCAGACAACAACAAACCACAGTGAACAACAGTGGTTGTTTTAAAAAACGGACGGATGGAAGCGTCGATAAGAGCACGGTTGTGTGCAAATTATGCAAAAAGGAATTCGCATATCACCGCAGCACATCAAGCCTCAAGTATCACCTCAATGCAAAACATATAGCAGCTAGCGTGGAAGCTAGCGTGGACGTTAGCCTCTTTTATCGCGTTCACACCAAAAAGAGCCGGTACTAAAATTAGTTCATGAGAACCTTTTTACCCCCACGAAAGTCCCTGCTAGAGAGCAGAGAGCTGCTAGAGAGCAGGGACTTTCGTGCGGCTCTCTTGTGAGAAAAGAGCTATATTTCTGATTGGCTGGGCGGATTGCAAACCACGCCCCGTAAAACTCCCAAAAAGTTTTGTGAATTTTATTATCCTCGCATTAGCATTATTAGCATTAGCCCAGCGCAGAAACGCAGAGAGACTAATTTATGGCAACACAAAATAAAACATGGGAGCGGTGGAGATGAGGAGGTGTCGGCGTTCTGGCGATTTACTCGGAAGGCTGCTGGGAGTCCCAGCAGCTTCTACTGAAGCCAGTCCCCAACTCCGGGGACTCCCGGCCGGGGACTTTGGGCGGCAGTATACGCCGTGAAGTGGTTTGCGGCCTGCCAGTAAACCCAAAGCAGAAGAAGAAGAAGTGACGTCAGCGGCTTCATTTGCCTTATCCACCCCCAGGTTCAAAGAGTTCTCATGAACTAAATTCTCATGAACCTTTGTGGGAAAAGTACTGCGGTGTGAATGCGCCTAATGGTATACTAAAATCCATGTGAAATTGCTTCTCACTGTTCTCAGGTCAAATATTTATATGTGATTAAAAATGCGATTAATTTCGATTAATTTATTACAAAGCCTCTAATTAATTAGATTAATTTTTTTAATCGAGTCCCGGCCCTAATAATAATACAATCTGCCACAATGTAAATACTACATATCCACACACTATAACACACACTGATAAATGCACATGCAACAATATAGTGTCAGCTCAACAGTTCTGACAGTTTTCTCTTTTTCTCCATCTCTCCCTTCCCACCTTACCCCCTTCTTCTTCGTTCTCCGCTCCTGTTTCCTCATCTCGTGTGTCTCTCTCAGATCTATTTACGATGACCAGCCCAACGCCCACAAGCGCTTCATGGAAAAGCTGGATGCCAGGATAAGGAACCATGACCGTGAGATTGAAAAGATGTGCAATTTCCACCACCAAGGCTTCGTAGACGCCATCACAGAGCTGTTGAAAGTCCGCGCTGACGCTGAGAAGCTGATGGTAAGAGAGCTCACTGTAAAGAGGACTGAGGCCAGGAGCTCATATAGCAGGGCAGTGTGCTCTGCAAGACAACATCCACTCACAATACATAGGCCACATGTTCTTACAAACTAGATAGCTAAAGAACAAATAAAATATGTTTTTCCATTATTAAGTCTGAAACTGTTTTATGCATTTTAACTTAAATAACTTTAAATAATCCACTACATTTGTATAAGGTTAGTTATTGTGAAAGATTAATTCCAATACCCACAATAAATGTTTCTAATAGTGTTCTGTTCATAGGCTTCAATGTTTCAGACACATTCAGAGGGCTTTATGTTGCAATAAACATTATTGCACTATACACATATATTATATTATTATTAGTTGCAATTAAAGGGCAGCCTGTATGCACGCTCCCATTATGTTCAAAAAGTTCATTATCATCTTTACTTACTTTACTTCACTGTGCCACATTTCTCCCAGAGGTGGAAGAAGTACTGATTTACTTAAGTAAAGAAGCAATACTACACTGTAAAAGTACTCTGTTGGAAGTAAAAGTCCTGCATTCAAAATTGTACTCATGTAAAAGTACAAAAGTATTGGCAACAAAATATACTTAAAGGTCCCATGTCATGCTTCTCTGGTTATTACCCGTCCCCTTGTGTGTTATGAAGGTTTTCCTGCATGTAAACGGTCTGCAGAGTCACACACCCTCAAAGTACACCCTGTAGCGAGTAAAACTCTAACACAGAGAAGACGTGTCTGTGCTGCCCCAGAACGCCTCCTTGAACATTTTTCGTTTTCCATTTTTTTCTTCCTGAGTATGGTGACGTAACCATACCCAGGTCCAAATGGACCATTCCGTGGAGCTCCTCACACACACACACACACACACACACACACACACACACACACACACACACACACACACACACACACACACACACACACACACACACAGCATTAACTTTTCTCAGCCGCAGCTCTGCGGATTTCTCAGCCTGAGACCCCACGCAGCAACCAGGAAACGACACCAGTAATCCAGCTCACACTGTCCGCTCCTCGATGTGCATTTAGAGAAAGGAGATGTCCTTCAACATGGCGCGGTGAAATCCATTTCCGGGTCACTACGGAGGACCGAGGATTCGAGGAGTCGAGGAGGGGAAATTAGAGAAATAAGAAAGGCCCCCGGACTTGTATCGGAGCAGCGGAGGAGTGATGAAGTATCTAGAGATCTGAGCTTGTGTTTCTGTTCATCAGGACATCATATGACCAGCAGATCCAGTGTGAACGCACTACGTTAGTCAGTGGACGTCCGACAACATGCACACTAACTTATATTGCAGCTATAGGCTATACTTTGGTTTACATTGCGTGAATAAACTAGCTAGAGAGCTACAGTTAATTACATTCATCCAATGTCAGAAGGATTACCTTTTAACAAACGTTGTTGTGACGGGGTTCAATTTGTCCATTCGATACATGGCTTAGTCGGTTGTTTAAGCTCCAAAAAAACTTTATTTGTATCAGAAACAAAAAATATACGAACCAGCATACCTTAAACAAACAAAATAAAAGACAAAAACAGGCCGTCCATCACTCATTCAGAGTAAACGTGTTCTGGCTGTTGCCTTCTCTGCAACAAACCCCCGAACACGTCCCAACTGTTGCCTTCACTGCAACATTCTTCAGAGTGACACAGTCCAAAAAACCAACAAGGAACCAACACCGTCCCTTTTGAATCCATGGCCCCTCCCACAGGCTCACCGTCAACAGGTGACACAATCAACTCAAAACCACATTTCAAGATAAAAATCCGACCCAAACATAAACAGGTTAACCACCTCTTAACCTCTTAAGCCCCAAGCCTGTTTTTCAGGTTTCAGGCTTGAAAATGACATGCCCAAAACAAAGGACTATAACTTAACTTCTAAAAGGGTTATATGAATAATTTATTTTATCAAAGCAAGGTCACATCTGTGAGTTGGATGTAGAAGTGTCAGAATCAATAAAGATGTTTCAGTGTCAGAGTAAATCCAGATGGAACATAGTCAAAAAGTGTACATTTTTGTTTCCGCCCAAATAAAACCCATTACTTATAGTGAAAACCACCCTTAAATGATGGGTTAGTAGCCTAAAAGCTTTAGGAATCCAAAGTACAACATATAATAAGTACCTGTATCAAGATTGAGGCAAAACAAGTGAGAATTGACCTTTTTAGAGAGATTTAGCAAAAAAAAGTCCAAGCGGACTAAGGTTTGGGCACATTTGGGTACATTTGGTTCCATCAGTGCCATTTAACCTTTTTCAGATACCAGACTGTAAAAATCATTGTACAACATTTAATTATCACTATAGGTATTCATTCCATAAAAAAAAAAAAAATTATTGTTAAAGGATGAATTATAAATGATCGTTTTTGTGAGTTATGAGCAGACATAGCAATTGCCCGTTTTTGACATGGGGTCATTTAGAGGCTTCTTGTGAGACTTCTTTTTCGAAAAAAATAATTGTTTTCGTATCGTCAGTAACCCAAGTTTCCTCCGGTCAGATGGGTATGGAATATTAATAGTTTCATGAATGACACTTCAGATATAGCACTGTTGCTACATATATAGCATTTTCGGACCCGAGCTCGGGTCCGTGGGGCTTAAGAGGTTAACACAATCATTCCCCATAATTAACAAAGTAAAAATAAATAAGAAATTGCATGGTTCATTTGACGGAAGAGAGCAGGAAATGTTTGGTGTGTCGGCTGTCAGTGGCGGAGTCAGTCACTCTGTGACCCGCTCCGTCACATTATCCTCTCCCTCCCCAAGGTTCGCGATGTGCGGCAACCTGGAAAGGCAAACAGCCACCTCCACGCTTTGGCAATGCGTCCCAAACCGCAACAAACAGTTTGCAAGTCCTCACCGCACTGGCACTGTGGAATCTCCGCACCGCACAGTGCCTCCACCCAGGCGCCGGCTGATCAGGCCGGCCATCGGAGTCCGACCGAAGATACGGATCACCAACCGAAACAGAAGTCCGTAGGTCCCGAAGCTCTGCCAACAGGAACCCCTCTTGCCCTGTTCCACTGGCCGTTCCCGAGGCCGCAGGAGCCGCTGGGCCCACCCAGGACCCGTCCTCATCCTCGTCCTCCGTCTCCCATGCCCGCTCCGACCCGGCAGCCGCGCTCTCCTCCTGCTGCTGATCATAGTCCCGTTCGCCGCTCCGCAACGCCGCCCAGCTTCTTCCGACTAGCCATCCCACTTCTGACACCATATGTGACGGGGTTCAATTCGTCCATTCGATACATGGCTTAGTCACTTGTTTAAGCTCCAAAAAAACTTTATTTGTATCAGAAACAAAAAATATACGAACCAGCATACCTTAAACAAACAAAATAAAAGACAAAAACAGGCCGTCCATCACTCATTCAGAGTAAACGTGTTCTGGCTGTTGCCTTCTCTGCAACAAACCCCCGAACACGTCCCAGCTGTTGCCTTCACTGCAACATTCTTCAGAGTGACACAGTCCAAAAAACCAACAAGGAACCAACACCGTCCCTTTTGAACCCATGGCCCCTCCCACAGGCTCACCGTCAATAGGTGACACAATCAACTCAAAACCACATTTCAAGATAAAAATCCGACCCAAACATAAACAGGTTAACCACCTCTTAACACAATCATTCCCCATAATTAACAAAAGTAAAAATAAATAAGAAATTGCATTGTTCATTTGACGGAAGAGAGCAGGAAATGTTTGGTGTGTCGGCTGTCAGTGGCGGAATCAGTCACTCTGTGACCCGCTCCGTCACATTATCCTCTCCCTCCCCAAGGTTGGCGATGTGCGGCAACCTGGAAAGGCAAACAGCCACCTCCACGCTTTGGCAATGCGTCCCAAACCGCAACAAACAGTTTGCATGTCCTCACCGCACTGGCACTGTGGAATCTCCGCACCGCACAGTGCCTCCACCCAGGCGCCGGCTGATCAGGCCGGCCATCGGAGTCCGACCGAAGATACGGATCACCAACCGAAACAGAAGTCCGTAGGTCCCGAAGCTCTGCCAACAGGAACCCCTCTCGCCCTGTTCCACTGGCCGACCCCGAGGCCGCAGGAGCCGCTGGGCCCACCCAGGACCCGTCCTCATCCTCGTCCTCCGTCTCCCATGCCCGCTCCGACCCGGCAGCCGCGCTCTCCTCCTGCTGCTGATCGTAGTCCCGTTCGCCGCTCCGCAACGCCGCCCAGCTTCCTCCGACTAGCCATCCCACTTCTGACACCATATGTGACGGGGTTCAATTCGTCCATTCGATACATGGCTTAGTCACTTGTTTAAGCTCCAAAAAAACTTTATTTGTATCAGAAACAAAAAATATACGAACCAGCATACCTTAAACAAACAAAATAAAAGACAAAAACAGGCCGTCCATCACTCATTCAGAGTAAACGTGTTCTGGCTGTTGCCTTCTCTGCAACAAACCCCCGAACACGTCCCAGCTGTTGCCTTCACTGCAACATTCTTCAGAGTGACACAGTCCAAAAAACCAACAAGGAACCAACACCGTCCCTTTTGAACCCATGGCCCCTCCCACAGGCTCACCGTCAACAGGTGACACAATCAACTCAAAACCACATTTCAAGATAAAAATCCGACCCAAACATAAACAGGTTAACCACCTCTTAACACAATCATTCCCCATAATTAACAAAAGTAAAAATAAATAAGAAATTGCATGGTTCATTTGACGGAAGAGAGCAGGAAATGTTTGGTGTGTCGGCTGTCAGTGGCGGAGTCAGTCACTCTGTGACCCGCTCCGTCACAGTTGTAATTAGGGCTGTCAAGTTAACGCGTTAATAACGCGTTAACGCAAAAAAAAATTAATGCCACTAATTATTTTAACGCGATTAACGCGTATTTTTTTTCCTCGGCCGCCCCGTAGTTTCAGAGTGCATCGAGTTTAAAATACCATCTACAAGCTCATGCTGACAGCCCCGCTCCTGCCGCCCGCTTGTGGCAGACCACACTTCCA